CACTCTCAGGCTCTTACACTCTCTTTATACCAACTACAAATTTGAATATCACACACACACACACACACACACACACACACACACACACACACACACACACACACACACACACACACACAACTATAAATAGACACACGTAAACACTACATGCAAACAAACACTCCCGCACGCGCAGTGACACCCGCCGCCACGCACTAACACACTCCCGCCCTTCCTTTCAAAGCCCATGCCCTCCCGACCGCCCCCTGGGTCCGGCCTCCTGCTGGGTCCTCCACCACCGACACTGACATCACCACCAGATCTAGGCGTGGGCGTGAGGCGGGGGAAAGGGTTGGGTGGGCTAAAGGATAGGGGGGGGGGGGTGCTGGAGGAGAGGGATAAGTGTTCAGTCCCGGCTAACCTCGGCAGGCCGAGTCCTTGACCCTGCAAGCAGAGGATGGACGCCAATCCTCATCCCAGGACAGACGTCGGTGACACTGAGCGCTCTGCCTAACGGGGGAACAGGTCGTTCTGGCTGTAGTCGTCGGATAGTTTAGCGTTGTGGCTGATTGGTGGTTTAGTATTCAAATCCAAACCGGTAAATAACGTCTTTTTATGGCGGCATAAATGATATATTTGTTATGGGCGTTGGGGTCTGACGCATTTTCCAAAAGGTTCTTGACTATATTTTCAAACCCTCACGTTGAGAAAGTAATCATCATCCACGTGATCGATGTAGATTTAATGCTTGTAGATACAAGATATAATCTTTGATGCCTTTGATAAATAATGAATATCATGGTTCTGATAATATGATTTTTAAACAGGCGTGAATGATACTGTGTTGGTAACGTTTGTTGGTGCTGTTGGCTGTAGAATGCTTTGTTGTTGTTTTAATGAGCGATTGGATTCTGGAGGTTGATATTAAATGAATGCTAGATTTTTATAGCTAGGACAGAAACTGTTTCAGCGCAACAACATTGTCTCATCGAACGCAATTCCAAAAATGGCATAGTTATTATGTAAATAAAAAGTGTAGATAAGCTTACAGGAAAAAGTTAAGATACTTCTATGTGACGGCTTTGAAAATAGATAACAAAACACCGAAACACAATGCCACTTTTTTCTAACTGACAGCCGCCTCCAGCCGCATGTCACTCTGTCTCTCCTTGGTCGTCGACGAGATTCTCCTCGGCGAATGGTCGTGCTGGAAGAAAACGGAAAATGATTGTGTCTGGTGGAGTGACTCTGGTCTCCAGTATAGATTCGCAGAGGGAAACTAGCCACCAATACAATGGATTCTTTGTAATATCACAATAAGGTGAAGAAGAACCTCACAACTCATTTGCATGTATCCTTGTGCCTCGAAGCAACCTTTGTGGTGTTAATGAAATTGAGAAGTAAAGCAAAAAAGAAGAGAGAAGAAAGAAAATAGCGTTCCTTGTCAGCGCAAATGGTTCTCTGTGGCAAATTTTTGAGTGTTATAAAATAACGCTTCATTTTTGTTTTCTTTATTTTCTATCTACCTTATGCTTCGTAGGACTAAGAATTAAAAAATAAATAAATAGTGGGGGAATAATACTGTGGAAGCCATGCGTTACGTTGGTGATATATAGACAAAAGTAATAGATATATTGCAGATGAAAGAGCCCATTCCATAGGTACGAGTAACGGGTTTTAGGCCTGACAGAAAACTACTGTAGACCGTAGACTGTATGTGCTTGTCAAGAGAGTGAGGTAAACGAATCCACTTGTCTCTTTTGCAGGTAGAAGATAAAGCCTGGCTAATCTTTCATGAAAGTTTGAAATAATATACCAAAGTAAAATACTTTGGAAATTAAATACATTTGTCCTCAGACCCTATAGCATACATTGTTTTTGTATGCTCTTTCCTTTTGTGTTGGTTTCATGTAATGGTGAGCCATGTGTACCACATACAAAAGATAAATAATAAGTCTCTCTCTCTCTCCTCCCCCCCCCTCTCTCTCTCCTCCACACACCCCCTCTCTCTCGCTCTCTCTCTCTCTCAATGCGTGTATGTATATGTGTATTACTTAACAAATGAACTGCTAACACCAATTGCCCCCTTTAGTGATTGCCAAGCATGTGCTGATTGGCATTTTGCACTCGCGTGTAGTGTGGATGCCTTGCATATCCAAACTTACAGTGAAGGTGTTTAGAACGTTCATTTTGAAACATAACGCTGTCCTTGGTAATTGGTCATATGAATAGCTACAAATAATATACACAGTAATACTTAATACTTAAGCAAGCCAGCCTTTATGGGTGCTGGTCCCAAGCCCGGATAAATAGAGAGGGTTGGTGTGAGGAAGGGCATCCGACTATAAAAACCCATGCCAAAACCAATATGTAATGAGCCGTAATAGAAAAATCAGTGGAGGCGGCTCATCCATAACGGCGACCCCATACAGAAATGGGAGAAAGCTGAGAAAATAACGCACGCATATAAACGTAGTGCGAAGGCACTACGTTTTTACACACACACACATATATGTGTGAACATATATGTATATATATGTGTGTGTGAATATATATATATATATATATATATATATATATATATTATATATATTATATATTTATATATATATATATATATATATATATACATTGTAGGCATCTCCTAGTATCGGGAGGCTAGCGTTCGCGCTCCAAGCTAAACCACGTATGATATCAGAAAAAGCTTGGAATCAGGCAAGGGTTAAATCCCAGCCTGAAGTCCCAAAGAGCACCGACTAAAACCCCGAATGAGAGTTGCAGGCGTAAAACATCACAATAAAACACGCAATGTAATCATATTCCTCTTTTATATCCATCTGCTCCCTGTGTTGATTGCTTACTTGTTAGGCTTGAGTGTTTTAGAGAAATGAAACAGCACCATCCACGAGCGTTCACTTATCCTCGGTCTTAATGAACGCACTTTACAAGTCTAATGCTTTCTTTAATCAATACTAAGCGAGGCATGGATGATATGAAACAGTGCATTTGATAATACTTCCCTGCATTTATATTACATTACTTTGTTTAAGAGATTCACATTGAAGTTTACGACCATACGTCGACCCTGTTGGAGCAAAATTTCCGTCTGCCTTTTAAATTTATTAGCAGAAAATATTCAGAATATCATCTTCATCATTTCTGGACTTACCGGGGGAGTAAAGATTCGGAGATAGAACGGACCCATAAGATTATTCAGCCGTGTTCACGCCAATCTTTACAATCTTGCGCCGAGGAAAATTGGGCAATAAGATGGGAAGATACACGGTTGCTTTTATTAAGCATTTGTTGGCAAACTCCCCTCCTCCTCGCCGTATTTCGGGGCCCTGTGGCATCGCCCCCTCTGCCGGCATTCATTCTCTCTTTTCTTCTTCCTAACGTTATCATCATTTTGTCTTTTGTTATCTTTCTATGTTTCCTTTTTTCACGTTTCCAAAGTTCTTTTTTCTATGCTGCTTCAGCGTCTTCAAGCATACAGTATCACCATTCTAAGCTAACTTAAGGACCTAACCCAAGGTACTTAGACTAATTAACTAACCACTTAACCAAATTACCCGCCCCCCACTCCCTTCCCTCGCACCGCAAAAGTAAAATCCAGGAGAGGTGCTCCTCCTCGCGAGTTCGCTTGTACCTTGGGTTAGGTCCTTAAGTTAGCTCTAGAATGGTGATTACTGTATGCTTGAAGACCTGAAGCAGCATAGAAAAAAGACTTGGACCGTGAAAAGGAAACATAGAAGATAACAAAAGACAAAATGATGATACGTTAAGGAAGAAGAAGAGAGAATGAATGCCGGCAGAGGGGGCGATGCCACAGGCCCGAAATACGGCGAGGAGGAGGGGAGTTTGCCAACAATGCTTAATAAAAGCAACCGTGTATCTTCCCATCTTATTGCCCAATTTCCTCGGCGCAAGATTGTAAGATTGGCGTGAACACGGCTGAATAATCTTATGGTCCGTTCTATCTCCGAATCTTTACTCCCCCGG